TCCGTAGCCATTTTGGCTCAAGCCGTTGCCCGACTCGGAGGCGGGCACCTCCGCCCAGCCCGCGACACGGGGGCGGGGGCGGGTGACCCCGCAGTGGGCGATCGGCCAGCGTGGCCAGGGCGCCCGCGACCACCCGCAGGCGCACCTGCAACCTCGGAGCCATCGGCGTCGACTTCAACACGTGCTACGAGAACGTCTCGGGCCTGTTCGGGCCTAGGCCGATGCGTGCCGCGGTATGACAGGCTGCGCCACAAGAAAAAAGATCAGAAGGTCAGGCCCGACGACCTGCGCCACGTCATTGCGGCAACGATGGTTACCAAAAAGCTGCGCGGCAAGCCGCAAGACCCTCCCGATGGAATCGCCACCAAATACGTCATCATTGAGGTGGAGAAGCCGGATAACTACGGCCCACACATCCTTCCGCCGTTCCTCACAGCCTGAGCAACCAGTACGACAACCAGCACGGCTACCAGACGGACTTCGAGGCCCCCACCATGGTATACCCGAACGACGCTCAACTGCACCCACCCTCTCTCTCTCTCTCTCTTCCTTGTTCCTGCTATTTACCCCCCGTCCTCCTCTGTCAGCCGCTGAGCCAGTATCCTCGCCGAGCTCCGTTCTGCAGTCGGAAACTCTGCGGGAGCTTTTGGGACCTCAAAGGCGGAACGAGCAAACAAGTCGAGGACGGAGGGATGATGAAGGGGATGAGGAAGGTGGATGGAGACGGAGGAGAAAAGGGCGATGCGAAATTCGATTCATTTGGCCAGTCTGCAAGGTCAGCCCTCCTCCTTCGCCTCCACACCCTCCTCCTACTTCTCCTCCTCCTCCTCCTCGGCCTCCTCATCATCTTCCCTATCCACATTTTTACGCTCCTCTTCTTCCCCATCCCCATTCTTACCACCATCTCTTTCGCTTCCCCTTCCACAATTTTGAAGGCTGCTGCACAATGTGGAGCTCCACGGGGTGAAGCGGGTGGCCTTCCGCCCTCCCTGCCGCCCGTCTGCGAGCATCTGGCCGACGCGAGCTTGATGGAGGACCCTGAGTGGCCAACGTGTCGCATGAGGAGCCGTCCCTGGGAGGTGGATGACGACGTGGATCGTCGGCACTCTGTGCCCCGGCAGCGGAATCGAGCGGAACCCGCCCCCCCCCACTCCCCCACCCGTGCCCCACACCCCTTCCCGCTGTGCCTCTCCTCCCCGTCCTCCTCTCCCTCCGCCTCCTCCCCTCCCCTTCTCCACAAACCAATCCCCAATTCCACCTGCCTCCTCCCTTCTACCCTCCCCTCCCCTCTCCCCTCCCCTGCACCTCCCTTCTCCATACCCTTCCCTCCCTCTCGCCCCCCCCGACCCCTCCCATCCACCTATCCCTTCTCAGCCCCTCCAACCGCCTCCTCCCCTCCAGCCCCCTCCTTTTATCCCCCCTCCCTCCTCCCAGGTTTCCCCTCGAGTATCTGATGCACCCGGCGAACCAAACGCACGTGCCGCGCGCGCGCGCCTGGCACGCTTGCCCGCTTGCGGGTCATACCTAAGAACCTAGCGGCCATTCGGGACGACTCCGTTACCCCTGGGACGCCCTCGGCGAGGCGCAGCTGCTGGAGTGCGCCCTGAGGCTGGAAAAACGTTACGGAACTCACGAGAACGTCCGAATATATGGAACCTCCATGCTCCTCCTCCTCCTCCTCCTCCTCCTCCTCCTCCTCCTCTTGCTCTTGCTCTTGCTCTTGCTGCTCCTGGGGGGGCATGCCCCCGCGCGCTCCCATGCGCGCGAGCCGCACCCGGATGCCAGCGGCGCATATGCCCTAGAGGCTCTGGTTCACGACCCATTCTGCCACTGCACCTTCTCCGATTTTCTCGCATGCGCTAATCCCAGGATGGTAGCTGATGACGTTAGGCTCCATTTTCGCATCCCACACTTGGCTGAGCAGCGCCAAAGCCATCGACCACCGCTCGCCCTTCTCGCACGCGCTGATCCCCGCGTTGTTGCTGACTGGGGCTGACCCGTGGACTCCGTCCACGACATCTTGCCGAAATGGTTCTAGGGGGAGCGGCGGAAACGCTGCCGAAAGGCTATCCACATGGCGTGAGCCCGTTCTCCAGCTGCGCCCCGCTTTGGACGTTGGCAATGGCAGCGACGACGACGATGACGGTGGCGCGCGGCGCGCCGCCGGCGCCTGGCCGGTAGTTGGGGCCCAAACTCCGTCGAACTGACGGGGCGTCCCGCGGGCCTGTACAGCCTGCCGCGGCCGAGGAAGGGGAGGCCAGAGCTGTCAGAATCGGTCAATGGGCCCCCTCCCACTGTCGAAGCGCACCAGTATTGTCGTCCAGCCGTGGTGGCGAGGAGACTTCCTGAAGGCGAACTGTCTGTCTGTGAACTCGGCCTCCGCCAATTTTGTCTGGCCCGAGCCTGGGCAGAGGCTGGCATCCTCTCTGCGTCCGTCGCCCTGTAAGCTGACCGTCTCCTCGGCAAATCAGAGCGCAATCCAAAATCCATCGCCTGGGCCGCCTCTCGGAAGCACGCCCAGATCCTTTGCCACCCAAACACCTCGCGGCGCTGCGCCGCGCGATGCCCAGTAACCTCCGCGCCCTTGTGCCCGCTCCCTTGGAGACGGGCATCGCTCCGTATGCAGCCATGAGCCGTGTGAGGGGTGCGCCGAGCTAGAGGGTAGAACCGCTGCGCGCCCTCCTCTGACACAATATTAGCTTCTCCTGCACCCTCCATCTCCGCAGAAACGAAACCCAAAACTCAAGAGTATGCGCCAAAGCGCAGGTTGACGAAAGACGTCTCGCCAGAACCCTTTTGCCCACCTGGGACCTCGGAGAATGAACCTCGAGCGGGGTGTTAATTTTCCGTCGACGCGGCGGGCCGAGGGATGGTCTTGGGGGGCGTTTTCTCGGCCGACCGCGAGACCCTTGAGAATGGCCTCCGAAGTTACGGAATCTTTTCCGTGAACGTGGTTAATCCACGAACGATCCGGGCGAGACGTCTGGCCCCATCCGGTGCCTGGGGGGGAACCTTCAGAGTTGGTGCTGGCATTCCGTGGACGTGGCGAATCGACGAACGTCCTGGGCGAGGATTAATTGTTCCGCCCCGGGGCGTCGGAAAATAAACCTCAAAATCTGTGTTTGTTTTCCGTGGGTGTGGCCGCGCCCCGGGTCATGCATCGGGAGGGTAGAGACAGAACACCGCAGAAACGAAACCCAAAACTCAAGAGTAAGCGCCAAAGTGCAGGCTGACGAAAGACGTCTCTCCCGAACCCTTTTGCCCACCTGGGACCTCGGAGAATAAACCTCGAGCGTGGTGATGGTTTTCCGTCGACGTGGCGGGCCGAGGAGTGGCCTTGGGGGGCTTTTGTTGGCCAACCGCGGGACCATGGAGAACGGCCTCTAAGGTTACGGAGTATTTTTCGTGGCCGTCGTTGATCCACGAACGATCCGGGCGAGACGTCTGTGCCCTATCTGGAGCCTGTTGGGAAGACTTCGAAAAAAGTACTGGCATTATGTGGACGTGGTGAGTCGACGAACGTCATGGGCGAGGGTTGATTGCTCCGCCCCAGGGCGTCGGAAAATTAACCTCGAAGTCGGGGTTTATTTTCCGTGGGTGTGGCCGCGCCCCAGGGCTTCTGTTCCGCCTTGTAAGAACCCTCTTGGGGCCCTGTTTGGCCGTCTGGCGGCCTCCTGGGAGCCTCTTGGGGCCCTCTTGGGTGCCCCTCTGGGCTGTTTTGGGGCCGTCTGGGACCGCCTTGGGGCTCCCTTGGGTCGTCTTCTCTTGGGGCTGTCATGGGAGCCTCTTGGGCCGTCACGGGCGCCTCAGGAGCTGTCCTGGGACCGCGCCCTCCAGGGGGCCTACTGGGCCCTCTTGTGACGATCATGGGAGACAATGTTGTCGTCTTGGGCGCTTTGAAGACGAAAAGCACGGGAATTGCCAAAATTAACATTTCCATCAAGGATTTGGAAGATTTTTCCTCGTTCGGGCTCTCTCTCTGGGCTCTTCTTGGTGCCCACTTGGAGCAATTTGGGCGCCTCTTGGGCCGTCTGGAGGCTATCTTGGGCGTCTGCGAGGGCTCTTGTACCATCTCGAAGGCCCTCTTGGACCGTCTTGGGGCGTCTTGGGGTCCTCTCGGGGAGTTCCGATAGGGTCTCGGAGCGCTCTTGGGCCTTCCTGGAAACGCGCCGAGGCCAGATGGGGCTCGCGAGGGCCCGCAGGGCCCGCAGGGGGCGCCGGAGGAGCGTGCCCGCCCCCACACTCCTCGCACGCGCGGGGCCCTGCAATGTAGTAGAGATGACGTCAAGTTGCCCATTGGCCGCCCACGTCACGCCGAGCAGCACCAAGGCCTGCAGCCCGTGCTATCCAGACTCGCAAGCGTTGATCGGGGCGCTGCAGCTGATAACGTCAGGCTCCACATTCGAAATCCACATTCCGCTGAGCAGCACCAGAGCCCACTGCCACTGCCCGGACGTCCAACCTTCTCCTCCTCCGCCTCCTCCTCCTCGTCCTCTTACTCTTTCTCTTCCTCTTTCTCATCCTCATCCTCATCCTCTTCCTCCTCCTTCTCCTCCTGCTTCATTCCGAGGTCGCACATCCACGTCCACCCAGGCCAGGAGGCGGAGGAGAAGGAGGAGAGGGAGGAGGGAGGAGGAGGAGGAGGAGGAGGAGGAGGAGGAGGAGGAGGAGGAGGAGGAGGAGGAGGAGGAGGAGGAGGAGGAGAGGAGGAGGAGGAGGAGGAGGAGGAGAGGAGGAGGAGGAGGAGGAGGAGGAGGAGGAGGAGGAGGAGGAGGAGGAGGAGGAGGAGGAGGAGAGGAGGAGGAGTAGGGGGAGGAGGAGGGAGGAGGGGGAGGGAGAAGGGAGGAAGAGGGAGGAGGGAGGACGCAGCAAAAGGGAGGAAAGGGAGGGGAAAGGGAGGAGGGAGGAGAGGGATGAGGGAGGATGGAGGATAGAGGAGGGAGGAGAAGGAGACAGGAGGGAGGAGGGCTGGACGATAACAGGGCCGCTGAGCGCCAGGCGTGGCGGGGGGCGACGCCAAGCACCGCACACAACGCGTCCCGCACGGCGGCCCGGTGGACCTCCAGCCAAACGGCGGACGACCGCGCCACGGCCACGCGCCCGTAGACCTCAGCGCCCACCAGCGAAGGTCCCAGAGATCCGAGGCTCCGAAAAAATTGGGGCAACTGCTTTCCGGCCATACTCGGCCCCCCCGGGGCCCTCCTCGGGCCCAGGGGCCGTCAAACAACGACTCGGGACGAGGACGAGATGCTGATTCTACGGAAGTCGTCCAGACCTTCGGGGGCCAACGCATCGAAAAAAAGGAGTGGCCGGATGTCTGGCCTCGTTCGTGCTTGAACTGTTTTTTGTGTGCGTCTCTCTCTCTCTCTGTCTCTTTCTCTCTTTCTCTCTCTTTTTTTTCTCTCTCTCTCTCTCTCTCTCTCTCTTTCTCTGCATATTTACATATACATAGTAAGGACCGCTCCTGCGTCCAGACTTGCGGCGTTGTGACTACGATGCGTTTTAGCGCAATGGCAAAAAGGGGCCCCTAGAGGTCAAACGGCGGCGGGTGGCGGCGACTGGTGCGTATACATACGTCACGCACGCACGATCTCACACCAGTGAAACCTTATCACGAGCTAGCCGGCAGACCGCGCAGTACAGCTGGTCTAAGTAAGCCCCTAGGGACAGTGAAAGGAGCATTCCCATGTTGGGACTACTCACGTCAAGGCAGCCAGGACTCAGTCACTTACTTCCCTGATGGGATGGTCTTCGCTCTGGCCCTCCCCAGTTGTTTAAGGTAGATTCAGGATCTGGGGTTATATCATACGAACCAGTACGTCAGATCTTAACAAAGAAACCCGTAGGCCTATTCTTCGTCAGCGACCCATCGGATCTTATGACCAAATTTGCGTGGATGTCGGATCTCTACTTCTCCCATTCCATTCGTCCAAATATCCTGTCTTAAACTCCCGAAATCGACACTCGAGCGCTTATCTTCTGGATTGCCCATTGTTGGGGCTATAAGATGTTCTTCAAGACTCTTACAATCCAGCATCCATGTCTCATATACGTGGCTGATTTGTCTTCCCAATTGGTTGGCAGCTTCTTTCCGACGCCAAGCATCCCACGAGCATCTGCGAGGGCGGCACGGATGCGCACGCCAGATTCTACACCCCATAAACAAGCCAGAGTCTCTGCTTGTATTGTAAATTTACATACTCGTTTGATAACTTTACTAGATTTACATATAGGGTGAACATGATCACTGTTCCCCTCGATGAACCCAGGCCCTGCGAGTCCATTGAACCTAGCCCTCTGTGACCTGAGAGGCTCTATTCTACCCTTGACTATATCCCCTTCTCCTGCCCAGCTGGCGTCAGTAACGGTAAGAACTATCATGTATTAATCCCAAGTTCCACCATTAAATACTGATCAGCAGTCGGCGGACTGAGTTGCTTCTTCTGCTGCACGGTTGGCTTCCTTGAGATGAGGCACCTTAGCGCGACGCACTGCTGTCTGCAGTCTGCCCGCGCGATACAATAGCTCAGGTTTACACTGACGTGTAACCCATGACAAAGCACCTACGACCGATCCGAGCTGTGCTGTCTCACCTCATTGCATGTTCTCGTGGGGGGACTGCCCCTAGGATGAGACACAGCTTCGATCTTCTCAATATTCTCCTTGGCTGTGATACTCACCGTGAAATCTTCATCTTGGACTACTTCTCAACCGCAATGGCGGAAATTATCGGGCTTGATCTCGCGAGTATCAGACTCTGCTAATACCGAATCGATGATTTTCTGGCGCCCATCATGTGCAGCCCATAGTATGTCGTCTCCATGTGTACCTAGCACGCACGCGATCTCATTCTTGTCATTGTAAATACTGAACAATGCGGACATGATACGATTCTCCTTTAGACCACGAGCTTCAAACTTATTGCGTATTTTCATCGATACACCTCGTCCCGCGGCACGCGTGCAATAGGCAGGCAGCCACGCGCGCGATCAGTCCCCCACCATCCAGGGCTCCTTCGAGTCCGTCGGGCGGTGGCTTGAGTAGCATGAGGCGGTCGAATTCCTGACCCTGGAAATGCGCAGATGTGATTTAGGCGCACTTGACAATCTTCTTTGTGCCAGCGGCCCATGATACTATCAAGCGTAGCCCTTCTAGTTCGCATGTTGGCGAATCCGTGCGAATGACCAATGACTCTTCCGAATCTCCGCACGCAAGTCTGCTCTAGCACTGCGGTGCAACCAGAGGTCCCCCCGGTCCGCGGAGATGTTCATTCTTGTCAATCTCAATCCACTGTGTAGGTACCATGCGATATCCTTCGTCGAGGAGATGTTGCAGTTCCACGGAATCGCTGGGTACAGCGGCGTTGAACTGTCGCCATTTTCCCCGTTAGTCTTGTCTCGCCAGTTGCAAACCGCTTTAAAAGTCCTCAGATTCTCCATGATATACCAGATCCCTTGCACTCTTTATATTATTCTTCGATTGTGGTCTATGAACGGTGCGCTCGTTGAAGAACCCGACAAACGATTCATGTGGCTTAACAGCAAATGATGCTTCCCTGCGGGCAAACAGATCCATGCCCGGCCCTGACGTTCCGGCCCTGCGCTTGGCATCAATAAGCGGGTTCGCCGGCTCGGGGGCTGGCTCCGAGACAGAAACGGAAACCCTTCCCACGCTACCATCAACATTCTCGACTCTTCTCCGCATCACTTCGCGACGACTCTGCATGCCGTGCGGGGCGTCGTCTAGCAAAGATCTCTGGAGTGGCGTTCGAGTCGCCATTGATGATCTCGACGCGGGCCCCTGGGATCCCCGGCAGCTCTTCCGTCGCCCTAAGATGTTCTTGTACAAGATGCTCTTGTACCTGTGGTTCTGGCAGCTCGCGTCTTTCGTCCGCGAATGACTGTTGCTGTCCGTCTGGAGGCGCATATCTTTCCGACTCCACCGTCGCGATGCTTGGAGAGATACTGGCATGCCAACGCCTCCGCCGCAGTACGTGGTCGAAGTCTGTCGACAGCCACGCAGACAGGTACACCCACTGTGATAACCCATGCGTTTTTGCCGTCGAATCCAACGATACGAGAACCAGTGCCCCACTTAGCAGTGACTTCGCAGTCGGTCGGCCTTTTACGAAAACACACGACATCACCTACTTGATATTCCCCGGCTAATGGCATTGCTTTTCGGAGAGGTCCCTCGCCGTTCTACTCCCGACGTCGTGCTCCGCGAATGCTTCCCCGGCAGACGCTTGGATCGCAGCCTGGCGAGAAAATCGTCGGCTCCGTCCTCTGCAACATTCGCAAGCACTCCTAAGTCGAAAGCTTCCTCGTCGTCGAATTGGCTTCCTGGGGCACGGGGCATCTTTCCGAGCACCCATTGAGCAAGCGCGAACCCGCCGACTCGCGACATCATCCTTCGTGTTGTCCAACTCTGATGCAAAAGCAATGACTTCAACGAGTCCAGAAACATTGTCGCGCACCACCCTCTTGAATATGTTCTTCAAAAGTCCACCATGTCTCTCAGTGCGGCCTATCTGCTCGGCAGACTCGACTCCGGCGTCGCGGAGGTCGACCCATTGACTCTTAACCCATTGCAGAAGCACTGATCTGTTGTGCAGTCCACGGTCTAACACCATTCGTTTGCGTTTACCTGCCCATGCACACCAGTGTTGTTGGAGTGCAGTGAGGCTCGCTTTCGAAGATGGCGCACCACCTCCCTGTTTGACAAAGATTACACGTTGAAAGGTTGTACCCTGGCACACTATGTTCAAGAAAGTGCAGCGTTCTCAACCGTTGTCCTTTACCTCCAGACAGTCGATGCCGATTTCATGATTGAAACTGAATGTCTTGGGCAATGCAATCTCATGAGTCTGAGCTACCCGTTTATGATGTTCGCAAGAATCACATCGATAACTCTTGGCAGCTTCAATGTAGTCCGACGACATCCCCGAGATTCTCAATAGCTGCACGAGAACACGTTTAGGTACATAACCAAACTGTCTGCGCAGCCGACGAATAGCTACCCTTGTGCGGAGCGGGATTTGCATCCACGCTTCCCTTATATTTGCTTCGTGTTCTGGCTCGCCAGGTAAGTTGATATGTTCTAGGATGTATTGTTCTGCCAGAGACAGCGGCGACGTCGTCATCGCCGACGATCGCGCCCAGATCGTCTCTAGCTCTCTCCTCTGCGGCTTCAGCGGGGCAAGCTGAAAGCGCTTGCCAAACGAGTCTCACCTTCTGACCTAACTCTCTGGGAACATCGAGAGAGTGCTGACTCGTGATGCCTGCGCCTGACTCGAGGCACGAGTTCAGCGCACTGGTGACCTCAAGGCTTGAGCAACCAGGCTCATAACCTAGCGCGACAGTTACAGGGCCATGATTTTGAGCCAAACCAGAGAACAATGACTGATAGCATGATGATTTGATGATGATGCGTAGGCGACAGCAAAATCTGGGTTTCGCTCGACGATGTCTTGTGCCATCGATGGCCCCCGATCTGGGCGCGCCGCCGGGTCGCTCGAGACTGGGCAGGCGAACGCGATGCCGATGACGTAGAGCAGCACCCCGGCCAGGTTGGCCCCCACTCGTCCGAGAAGCGGATCGGTGTTCCGGATCACCTTCTCGACGATCTCCTTGTCGGTAGCAGTCGTGCCCGGCGCGGACAGCTAGGCAACGCGCGCAGGCAACAACTCATCTTGCATACTGCTGCTACGCAATCCAGAGCAATATGTGGCACGATTCTTAGCGTTCATAATAGTCATCTCATGCTGATCCAGCTGCGGGGGCGTGCACATATACGATGTTCGTCAACGCGGACCCTCAGAGGCTGCACAAAGATTGCTACTCGATCGTGATCTTCAGCGCAGAAGAATGCATGGCAACACGATCTTCAAAACGCCTCCAGGATTGGGTGTCCTTGGTGCGACGCATAGAACTCTTCTTCCAAGAAGACCATGCCGGCGGGAACTTGATCTGAGTGTTGAACGGATCAATCTTGCAGTTCGCACGCACTAACTTCTCAGTGCCCCGCTCGTCTGCGCGGCCAGTCGATCCCTCTGATGAGAACGATCGAGGATCAACGTGAGCGATGAAGTTCCTCTTCTTGCCCTGCT